TCCGTTGAATTTCAGTAAATTTTGAACTCCCATTCTTCGACGGTAAACACCGAGATTACTTTAGATTTGTAAGACAATTTGAAACGTTTATAGAACCCAGAGTAAGGGATGATAATCTGCGTTTATTATATTTAATTCATTACTGTAAGAGAAAGGTGAGAAATGCGATTTAAGGACGCCTTATAATGGAATCCCATGTGGGATATAAAAGAGCTAAGGCTATTTTAAAGCAGCTCTTCGGACAATCGCATGTAATAGCTCGTGAAACTCTGGATGACTTGCTTTGATCTGGGAATGCGGACTACAGCGACTCAGAAAAATTGACGGATTTAGCAATTAGGATGCAGAACGTCGCTCTAACTATGGAACAATTAAATTGTATTGCAGAACTAAATTCTCTAGTAACTTTAGAGCGAAAACTTAGGCTCTTACCTCATCGAATGCAAGTCCAGTGGGCAGAGCTGAGAATTATGTCGGACGAAGAGGAAAGAGAGCCCTCTTTCAATGAATTGACTGACTTTATTATGTCTCGTGCTAGGATAGCTAGTAGTAGATTCGGAAGATTAGCTAATCACGCGAAAACAGGACATGATACGGAAGCTATTAGTCATCTGCGTACGAGACATGAGAATTCTTCAAATCCGTTTGCACCTACCTCACGCCCGGAACTTAAGAGAGTTGTTAAATGTATCAGAAAGGTATATCCTCATAAAGACCGAGTATGTGACCCTGATAGTTTAAAACCCCTTGATGTGTATCCTAGTGAGAAATCGGTATGTGTAGCAGATAAGATGGGTTTTTTGAGTATGGAAAAGAAAGAAGAAGGCAAAAAGGGTAGGCATCAAGATGGATCCGAGGTGTGTGATGGTAAAAGCTTCTTAACTGCTCGAAATGCAAGGAACCGTTATTTGGATTCGTGCAAACAGGGGTTAATGACATCTTCACCGTTCTGAACTTCTGAAGTGCCGATTGTCTAAACACAGGGCTGTCAAACTCCGCGACAAGCCGATCCGTGACCGCCTTCCATGTCCTCAACCTGCCATTCAGGCTATCATACACAGACTCCGCTATGCCGCGCAGAAGCTATCCTAAAACCACCGTCTTCTCATGCTTTCATCCAGCTAGCTCCATCACGGCCTCGAACTCCTGCAGGAATGCCATCAATACTCTGTCCTCGAACTCCGTCGGTCATGGTATCGTCGACCTGGCAGCGATACCAAATGTTGTGCGCGAAAACCCAGGTGTAAACATCAACATCTATATTTAAGCGAATATTACAGAGCTGGTAAGCATATGTACAAAACCTTCCCGTGAAATCATCATTTGCAAACTAATCATTATTTGTTCCAGATTTCAGTGTTCTTTCATTTAGACTGTTCACACTTCAGTTCACTTTGCGTTACCTACAAATCGCCTTCTGTTCTCATTCTTTACTTCTCGATCTTCTGTTGTCAGACGTTTGACTTCCGTTTTATATCATATACTACTTATCTGAACATAAATAGCGTACACCACAGTGGGACCAGTCGTGGTTGACTATGAACACGCTACAGACCAATAACGTTCACATTACTAGTCCTAATCACTTCGTGAAACAAAGAAGGAGATTTAAGTTTGTTGAAGATATCGTGATACCGACAGAATACCGCGACCATGCCACAGAATATGAGTAAAGTTGTCACAAGCAATGTGATCAAGATGTCAACGAAACTAACGGAAGGTTTGCGTTCATAGTAGAAATGTATTAGGATTTCAGTAAAACAATCACTGGTACGGTTGGTTCTAATACTAAATGCTTATGTGTTACCAATCGCGTTACCTTCATAAAAGTGTAGTCATTAGATGCTCAAAAATTAGGAAATTCAGAAAATGAAGCTTCATCACGTCAAGTCAGCTATTTTTTAGTGTATTCAAATTAGTTAACTATCGTGGAAGGAGTGTATCATAATGTTTGTTCAGATGTATGGAAAATATTGTCCTACTGTTCGCTGGCCTTGTTTTAATCCATTCATTTGAATGTATCGGTAAACAAATACTCAACTTTACTAGTCACATTAGAAAAGTTTATTATTAGAAAATGTGATACAGTACACAACAAAATCATGGATAGGCACAAATAAATATTGCTAGACGCACAAACAGACGCATCAATGACCAATACGTTTCTTTAGAGAATACATTTATCCTCCGGATTCATTTTCGACCCTCGAGGACATTCGTACGTTTCAGAAAATTCCTTAATGTGTTTCAAAATTCCATTCACACTGAAAATAGGGAAAATTAATTTTAAAAATGAGTGATTATCAATGAGTCAATATGGTGAACTGTTATTTTATTTCATCCACAATTACGCCAGAAGACTGTTGGCCTTATTATCTGCAACAGTGTTTACGTGAGGGATTATAATGTAAACATTTAAATGTTTTTTAATCTACGCTCACAATTACAACTCTAATATCTTCACCATTTTTTTAGATGGAGGATGTTTGTGATATTGACCTAACTGCGTTATAAATCTGAAAAGATATAATGTATGCAGTGGTGATACATATAACAGTCGACAAATGGTTAGCAATATGTCAAACAAATAACATGAATGCACATTCAAAGAAATATATGGATTTACAAAGTGAATACCTGAATTTATAATTTTGATGAAATGACTGTAACTTGTAACGCATCAGATCATGAAAGTAGCCATCACACACAGTCTTTAATTAATAAAGGAATAGATGAAATTGAACAGGATCACGAAACGTCAACTGATGCACTGGAATAATAACTAAGTGAAATTAAACAATGTTTTTTGTAGAAACTGTATTGTGTGTAGTGTTGATAATTTCGAGAAGCTGCTTCAAACTACTATCATTTATATCGTAAGGTCAATGATAAATAGGATGTCGACGCATTGAATTACTTCTCAACTGTTATCTTCTTAAGTTAACCAGACTGCGAATTAACAAATCTGATTGAGTTCTACATGATGTTTCATATATGTTGACAAACAAACGTGTTATGTATAAGAAACTTGAAAGTTGAAATTTATCTGCCTAATGATAGTAAGTGTTTAACTTTGTCGGCTTCCGAGGGATTTTCACACCAAATGTTAGATGGTAATATTTAACAAATGAATAGCTATTCTATTCACTATGTCAATAGAATCTGATACACAAATTACGGTCTTGTAACTATCCATCAATCAGAATTTCATAATTTTATCTCAAAAAATTCATTTCATCTGCCTTAACTTATTTATATAATTCGGTTACTTGGTGGTAAACTTTAGTTTCACAACAAGGTTACATTGTTGGTTGATTAGACTACTACTCAGCAATGGTAATCCTGCGCTGTATTTTATAGCATGAATGAACCCGGAGAGAGTTTTGTTCACATGAAAAATCTGTCAGTGTGTATAACTTACTTCAGCGAATGCTTCAAAAAACTTTTTCTTCTCCAAAATATCACCATCAGTTGTGATGACATTTTTCTTGTACGTCTACAAAATGTGTCAGACAATGAACAATCAAGAATACTCTATCGAAATGGTTGTTTAACTACATGCCTTAATTTTGAATAAGTTTTCATCGACACATCATTATGCAATTACTTACATTGTAACAATTATCATAAAGATATCAATCAGATATCAAATTGTTTCCAAAGCAACGCTCACTAATTCATCATTGTGACTTGAAATCTAAGCCTTTTAATCGCTGTCGAAAGTCAACTGAAGCATTTGAGAAATGACAACAACATACACAAATTTTTGAAGCGTGAATTAACTAAATATCTTGGCTTTCATACAACAAAATGGATGTAATCCTAATAAGGTTAACTTACTGAAAAGGATAACATAAGACCATTAATATCAGCTGCCATCTGCTTCAAATCCTAGTTGATATGAAAAATATTGCGACATGAAATGTAGTTAATGTCAATGAAAATAACTCGAGCAATTTAAGTGTCAGTAATGTTATGTTGTACTATTTGAAACCTGATTTCAAGCGGTTAAATTGGTCTGGTTTGAATGACATATATAGGAAATCGACGACTGACACAAAAAATATTGTTATGTGGAGCATGCTTTATTCATTTAACGAAGTTTGCGAAGTACGTGTGACGGCATCAAAATCAAGTATGCAAATAATTTGCAAAACCACAAGATGTAGATTGGTAACAACAGGATGAATGGATAATAAAATGCCATGGGGTTACTGAAAATATTACCTTGTAGTTGACATTTCTGGGAATTCAGTAAGTTTCAAGTAGTCTCTTTTCAGTGGACAATTTATTGAAAGAACTATTTTATGTATGTCAGAACTAGATGTCAAATTACCGCTTTATTGAGACCAGCATATATTCATGTTACAACACTTTCCTTGTGCAACCAGCATATCAAACAGATTATATGTTGGTTTGCATATTTGAACACAGTATAAATAATCTCGTTTTCCGAATGGTGAAATCAAATCAAGATATAGTAACCAACGATTTTCAAATACCAAAATCAACCTAAACGGTTCCATATAATAAGTTTGTTGTTGTTATTCATGTCAGAATAAGTGAGAACAGCAGTGAGAAGCAGACGGAGAAAACTGTCTAATGTGTTTCATCCCAAAGTAATCGACTGTGTAAACTTTCATACTATGTTTTTGTCAAGAGATTTCTAGCAAATGATTGATATCAATATACAGGGCTGATGCATATTAATTCCCTGGACTTGTCAATAACTTACATTCAAATTCACAAACAGATGGAAATCGTTGTCTTATTTACATAAGATGTGTCATTCTTCGAAGAAGTGTGACATTTTATGAACACACCATCTTGACTTTTATACTTTGAAAGCAAGTTTTACAAGAGTGATACTAAAAACTGTGCAAAAATCAAGCTATGCAAGCACAAAATGCTCTATTGATAGACCACTCACCTCCTTCTCAGCCAACCAAGCGTTAAATTGTCTTGATAAACAGCAGGTTAGATTTTTAATCGGTGACGGATTTCCTGGTACGCAAGTTGACTGAGAAAAGTCATTTTCATCAAACTGATCCCCCCTAAAAGCTGTAATGCAATCGTCATGCAACCAATAATTATGTTTCAGAAATAAACACAAAGTGAGTGTTGAAATTCATAACTGCTGTATAGGTTAGAATTGCACAGCACACATAAGTAGTTATTAAGACAACGTTCAGTGGGAAGAATTCCTAAAAATCAGTTACATTTTAAAGCCTCACTAACTCAATAATAACACACATTTTGAATCATGTTTCACAGAGAATTGTAGTGTCAAGCAAACAGTCCCTTTGCATTGGACTGTGTAATTTTGACTGTTTCATAATAAGAAACAATGTTATTTATATTTGAATTCCATTGAAAGCATTTATTTGGGGTTGATCAACAGTAGTTCAATTTCAACTGATCTTTTTTGATACAAAATATGTATATTTCATTCATCCTTAAATTCAATTGACCAACTGAGACGTATACAAAAATGACAGATTTGCTTTCTTTCTCTTTTACCATCTGATGGTTAATTTAGGAAAAATTAATTGATAACAGCACCTAAGTTGCTGTAGACTATATACTGTCAAGTAACACCTGCTTCAGTTTAGATAGATCACGTAACTAAACAGACTTAGCTGATAAACACACAATCAATAAAATTCACCTAATCACTTAGTAATGAGACAAGATAAGCAAATCTCAAATGTTCGCAATCAATTCAAAATATTCAGTTTCGCTTTTAATAAGATTACGCAAAGAAAATTATGGTGAATGTTACCTTCAGTTATTAGTTGACGACCAATAAGCCAACCGAGAATTCCATATTTTTGAGATATTGAATATGATTTACTTAGAAATGATGGGTGTAATAACGCAGCAGACAGATATATTTCAGGATATTGCACATATTCAGGATCAGATTGTTCAGTACTGAAAAATTTAGGTTTGGAGTATTTTTAAATAAAAAGCACACCTTAAATGATGTCGTACAGTTATTGACTGTTCCTTTCTTAAACATTCAAAGTGCGTAACACAGAAGTTAATTCATAATCGTGTTGCCAAAGTAATCATCAGCGACTCAATGAAAGCACAAGCCCACTACTGACCGATCTCTAGATAACAAGTGACTGTATTCAGGATGACAGAAGTGCCGCAATAAAATATTATTCTAAGTAACATAGTGTACACAGTTCAACTGATCATCAATTACTAAAGATGAAATGTCAGATGAATAGAATAAAGATAGTGTTGACTTGTGTCTCAATCCTGTTTATTTTGTTGCTGTTTTGTCATATAAATGTTTGATAAAAGTGAATAGAATGATGATAGTGTTGAAATGTATTTCTATCCTGTTCATGTTGTTCCTGTTTTGTCATATAAATGTACATTAGTACATCTCATCTACAGTGTATATGACGGTGATATGTGTAAAGTACTTCAAATACACAAGCCACTGTAATCTATTATCTAACATCAATTTATTCAGTTGATTTGTGATTTGATCAGCTGACGTAAATTGATTATACATCCTTGAGCATTTTGTTTGTTATACATAATTTAGAGAATCAACAAATTCGATTCGAACGACTACTAAGGTACGGTTTATTTTATACATACTCTTTTATAAAGGATTGATGTAAACTGTCAGACCATTATCTCTATTTTTCAATTCATGAAACCTTGTTTTGTCAGAAGAGAACACTGTAACAGACCACCTCAGTTTACTGCGAGTGGTAAAATTAACGTTTTAAACAAAACAGACAGCTGTATGTGTCTTTTTAACACAAGGCTCTTTCATGATGGTTGACAAATATGATCAAAAACCAACTTACTGAACGTTTATGACTGAGACTCTGTATATTGAATCAAGGTAGTTTGTTTTTTGAGAATTGTAGACATTCATGAAGTAGTTACCTTCCGACATATTTTTCTAACAAAGAAATGAAAAGATTTTACAAAGCATTTTCATGGTTATTGAAATAAATCAATCAAGAGAACTTTTAGAAATTTTATCATCCATGATTTTGACTGGCTCAGTCATATCGTCCCACTGAATCTATCCTTAAATCAAAATAATCAGGCAACTGTAGAGCATACAATAACTGGCAATTATTAAGTTATAAACAAGTCATACCACAGTGCGATTAATTTTGAAGCTAAATTTCGTTATGCATACATGATGAATCACTTAGTTGGTGAATTCACGCCTCATTTGATTGGCCGGATGATGAATAATGTTTTACCTGTATAACTTACTTCAATTCTATCCGACGGTGGTACGATGGTATCTCCAAGGAATCTATCTAAGTTCTCTGTTGACACACTAATGTTCTCAACCTAAATAATGCATTGAATTATTGCATAAATAATTTGTCGAAACGTGACCAACCGATTTAAGAACGCCACTTCTGTCTTCTTCACTAGGCCATGATTTCGATGACAATGACTGAATCAAAGTTTTCTTGAAGTCGCTTATCATTTCACGAACCTATTCAACATAAAAAAGGAAACTGATCAAACAGACTGCCTAAATGAAATAAATCACCAATAATAATCAAAATATTATTAGTAAAATGATCAGCTTCGTAAAGTCGAAAACGTTATTGCAGAGATCAGCACAGCAGTGAATAGTGGATAATCCAATCGAGTATATGTGAGAACAGTACAATTCTAAAGCTCTACCCTTCATCATCCTACCATTTTATTAATGGAATAAATTTCTGCCCGAACTACCTACTTACACTCTTTTCAATAGTGTAGTGTAAAACGACCCAGTTTAATGCTTAAACACAATCGCAAATTTGAAGCACCATGTTATCAATTATTCAACTCACTTTTATTTCTGTATCCCCATCTACACCAAATTTTCCAAGATGTCGCTCAAACACCGATCGGAAATTTTCTCTCACCTCATCAATGCAATATCGTGCAGTTTTATCTGAATATTTCATTGATAAACATATTAACCGAATGAATTAATATATGGAGAAAAAGCATGCTATTTTCTTCGACCGAAACTAATCAAATTTTTAGCTGTGGAACCTTTTATTCGTGTTGCATTTGGTGCTAGTCGTTTCAGCATCGCATGAGCATAACTCTTTACATTACTGGTACTGTTCCAAATGTATCACTTTATGCTCATTCATTAGAATGAAGTCGGTTGTTGAATCCACACAGCAGACAAAGATGAAAGCGATTGTTGCAAGACTAACTGAGTGAAATGTGGCCAAACATTATCAGGTCATATGTCTACCTTCCATTTAACCAGTACTTTTCATTACTTATCTAGATTTTTTGCATCCAATTTATTTCAACAAAATATCATGACGATGTAACATTATTCATTTACACGACCTGTTTTCGCAAAGTGATCACAATTTATTCACTTGTCTTCTATCAACTTTAAAACTAGAAAAAACCGACATTTATTCCTGTTTGTCTGATTAAAAAGTGGTACTTACGATTATCATCAGGATAAAACTCTCCGAAATGTTCATTCAAGGTGTGTCTCATGTTGTACAAAAAACTGATCACGATCATATTATGTAGATTTCTGCGAGAGTGAATAGAATAAACCAAGTATTTGTTCAATGCACAATCAGTTTTCGACTCAATATTTACAAAATTTTTCGCGTGTGTATTCTTTATATGTTGTTAAATCTAAAGATGTGTAAATGTTTCACATGAGCAAGAAATGGAATATACACGATAAACACCGCATACGATTAAATATCATTCTTTGTGATATTCATCCGTTTACTTCAAAGTGAAATAGATTCACTTATAGATCATTTATATTGTCTTTCATTATAATTTTACGTAATGACGATGATGGTTTGAATCAACTCATTCATTCAATACAATTGATTAATTCAAACCGAAGGGAGGGGAACTTGTTCAAACATTGCAGACAACTATGTATGTTCTGTTCACATGAATATTGGATGGGAATTCTAAAACGCAGCAGTACGACTCAGTGATTGCAGGCCGAATTGAATTCGATGTTTCTTCCCACCTGAACAGGATTTCCGGCCTAAATAATAAGTGCATACTCTTAGATTTCAATTTCTTTTCTAAAAGCAATACTTACTGTCATATTTACCTGGTGTTCATCTTTATTCATATCACATGTACAAATGATTGCGGTTCCAATGCATATAGCAATTCCTAACTTAAATTACTTTTACTTCCAAATCGACTGGTAAGATATGTTATTTTTGAATATTGTATTTAAATAAGAGTCTGATCAACTAAAGTTTAATTTGGCTTCAATTTTCAGTTCAGTGATCTTGTCCGGACTACTTCACGTTTACTAAAACCATAACAATCTAAATTATCAAAGTGTGCGTAAGGTTGAATAACCGAAACGTGTTTACACTGAATGTTAATCTTGTCATTTTCATATGTTGACTTCAAATAAACGATTGCAGGAGATGATAAAATTTCAAAATCCCAAAATTATACGAATGAATCTGTGGTAGAGAATGAGAAACATTCTTTGAAGAATAGTTGAGCTTGAAATATAACAACATGATATCTAATTATATAATTCGTTTACGAAAACATAAAACGAAAGTGTGAAGAATTACTTTCTGCCTTCCTTTTCTTTCATTGCTTCTATTAATTGTCCACAAGCATAATGTAGAGAATCTTGATCGTTGACAAAATATTTTACATCTTTCAATGTCGAATACCCCTTATATTCCATTAAAGAGACGTAAAGGTTTCTCCATCTGATCTAGTTAAAATGAAATATTTGAAGCAAAATTTCAAACTTTGTCAACATCTCTACCTTTGTCTTTCTTAACTTGTCTCACTGAATTATACTTGTTTAATAATATCTTCAAATCCTAATCTCCAAAATCCGTTATTCCTCTGCCATCTCTACCGCTATGGGATTTGAAATGACAATTGCGTCTCTGTTCTAATGTGGTATGGCAACATGAACTGGTGTACTTACGATCAAAGTTCTACGCTGTAACTGACTGACTAGTGAATTATGCTTATGTCATTTTATTCAGTGACAAATTTCAGTAAAACACAAACAATAACTATCACAGAGAAATGTAGATTGATTAAAACAACAAAATTTTATACATCTAAATTAAAAGTTGAAGTTTTTACTTTTGGTAAAGTCACTGATGAGGTAAGTATTTTACATCAAGTGATGGTCTTCAATGCGCAAACATGCACATAAGTTTGGTCTGTTTAGAGCTTGGCTCCGTTAGTGATAAATTAACTACTTTTAGCATGTTTGTAATGGTTTCAAATAGTTCGTTCCCTTATTGTCTGACAAAACAGTTCTTACAATCAACTTTGTATCCAAAACCACTAAAACTGAATTCCTCATTGTATTTTAAACAAAATATAACAAAGTACGCTGAGTAAGCAAAATACTTCAAAATTTATACAAGTCACGACTTACTATAGGACAGATATTTTCCAAATCATCGAGTAAGATTTCTTTACTCTTCCCATATTGTGATGTTGTCTGAAAAACAACAGTACGTCAACATCATTACCACAGTCAGCTATTCAATGCATGATTTTACAAAAACTCGAATGATTTTGAAAGTAGAGCCAAATTGCTATATAATGCTCCTCATTGTGAACAAGTTATGGAAATAGCTGACAATAATCACACTCATCTGTTCATATCATTTTGCATTCTTCCTTTTTATCATCTTGTGACATAACACTACTTATGCATAACACTTCATATACTAACTGGTGGTTTTCCGTTATTACTAATATCGATTATGCTAACTGATGCATATGGATATGAACATCATTCGGAAGAAAAAGAAATAGTTTCGTACTTATTCACAAAACAATTTACTGTTTTATATCCAGGAAGCATAAAAATTGCGTTTGTCTTCGTATGTCTGTGAATTATATGTTCGTGTATTTGCTTGCTCATATGGAACTCCGTAAATGGTTTCGTTTGAGTGTTTACTATTTCATCTTTCAACAACCAGCTAAGGATTTCGACGATACTCAGCTGAAAGACAACCGGTGACTCAATCTCATATTTACCATGATAATCTGTTTTTGCTGCGACATAAATATGAATCAGCATTCAAAATATCACTTCGTCTTACTTACAGTTTTAATTTTCGCATACAATTCAAAAACACCATCCATCATATATTCTCTGCTCTCAATGGCTCCGATATTTCGTAAATACTTGAAAATTCGCTTCTTGTAGCTTCTTTCTGATTCTCCATCCTATTTTTTATGAAAAATATACATCAGAAACATTTCAATGGTTGGCATCTACTGCTGTGGTGCGAGCTATTTATAAGTTCGACCGTATCGAAAACCTGTTGGAGTACCGCCTGATGACGCTTCGATTAACTGAACCTGAAAACTGTTTACAGTGCAAACAGATGCGGCGTCTTAAGTCAATCTAACAGTGTGATAGAATATGCGAGTAGCGTTCTCACACCCTCTGAGCAGAAGTATTCAACGATCGAGAGAGAGTGTTTAGCGATTGTCTGGGCATCAGAAAAATGGAGGCCATACCTGCCAGGTAGACGGTTCCAACTCGAGACTAATCATAAACCCCTTCAGTGGCTGAAAACAGCGAAAGACTCCTGTAGTAAGCTGGCGCGAAGGACGATATGTCTGCAGGAGTACGACTTCAGTATTGGCCACGTTCCAGTAAGAGTAACTTTTGTGGGGGACTACATACTGATGCCACAGACGGATGCTGAGCTCCCGATGACAGCTTACGCAGTCACTAGCCTTGACGGAGACCCACTAGAACTCGTCCGACAGCAAAAGGCTGACCCTAACCTACGAATGTGATAAAAAGGAGAGAGTGATAAAAAGGGGGCAGATATTGACGAACTGCTGAATGATAACGAGGTATTAGCAAACGAACGACTGATCTAGTAAGACGGAGTGCATATTGGCCAGGCATGAGAGACGATGTGGCGCAATATGTGTTGACTTGCCAGCGTGGCCAACCGATGAAAAGTAATTGATAGAAACAGCCGCCATCGCAGTCAGTTCCCGTAACTGCAGTTGGTGATATATGGTCAGTGGATGTGATGGGACCTTTCCTGCAGACGGCCAGCAACAATCAATACCTGGTGGTGATGACAGAACATGACACATGGTGGGCTGACGCCGTACCGATTCAAGATCAGCGGGCAGAAACAGTGACGGAAGTAGTCATCCGGCACATTGTGGCATGTCATGGAACACAGAAATCAATAATAACTGAACAATGTCCCTGTTTTGAAAAGGAGCGAGTTTAAGTCCCGTCTGGAACAGTTCGGTATCAAAAGAATACGAACTACACCATATCATCCACAGACTAAGAAATGATTATCCACTAAAGGAGGGAATCGAGAGAAGGAATTGCGAATAAACTTGCTGGCTCCTCGTGCCTCAATACAAGGAACCACCAAGAAATCACCTTTCCTGCCTATGGATAGCAGACATCCGCAACTTCCAATGCACAATAAGACGGCCGCAACAGCAGAAGTGAACGGCAACAAGGTTAAAGAAGGAGAGGAGGGAGCCAGTCAGCAATATAAAGTAGAAACAGATGTCGCAAACAACGACAGAACAGCAGAGTAGGCAGTGGAAGCCGTTTAAAGTCGGGGACCTGGTAAAATGTATAGAACGGATAGGCACCGTAGCATGTGTACAATGATCACGGAAACTGCTTCCGAAATGGGAAGGACCGTACATTGTTATCGAGAGACGTGGCTCTGTTTACGCGATACGGAAAGGAGACAACCGAAAACGCGTGAATGCCAGTCAACTGCAGAGGTTGTTTCAAGATTATCAAGCGTTTGAGTCACGGAAAGCACCAAAGAAGACAGCGAGACAGCGAGCAGAAAGACTACGACGACAGCCTATTAAAAGGGGGGAAGAGTGTGGTGCGAGCTACTTATAAGTAGTATATGACGTGAGTGTCAACGTAATGTCTGGCAGCAGAAGATAGTGGAAAATCAAGAAAGGAAGAGTTAGAAAACAATGGCATTTGTATAAAACTCATGAATAGTGACAATGGAGTGATGTTTTGCTGCTATGATGTTTTGATGCTATAATCTTCATGGTGAGAGTAATAGGTTTGTATCGAACCGGACGATTTTTGCAAGTTAGCGGGTTCGATATGAGAACTTGAAAGGCTGCTTGTGATTCCCCACTTAGTACTTATTGACATGTGACAGAAAGCGATATTCAATCCATCAATGGCTATCATATCAATGTGTTTTACAAATCTCAGTTCGTGAAATGTCTGTACATGTTTATGCGTCAAACAATGCTGCTAATGACTTTGTAAATGCAACTGTAAATACACGGATTACTGAATAAAACCTGATAAATCCGTATAAACCAATTTCCTTTAACTTCAAAAATCTTTTGAAAATTGACTCTTCAGATTGTATTGTGATATGTGAAAAGAAACGATAAACGATGGTTCATTCATCGGTTTCGGAAATAAGCATAACAGAGTAAAATCGGGTTGTTTCAGCTTACCATATTCGATGTACCACTGGTAAATGCGTCAAGTGATCCTGGATTAATCTGAAAGAACAAAGTCACATCTTATTTTTCGGAAGAATTCTGAAGAAAATTTGTTAGTCTGAAAGTGTCTGCATAAACTCCATTCTTTTATAAAACATTCCAGTCAGTTTATGCTGTTCGGTGAGAGTCCGGTTCGATTTTCGTCTAGTGAAAAAATGTTTTCAAATTTGCTGTATTTGAAAACCTCTGTTTTCCTTTTCAAATTAGTTGTACAATCTTCTCAATATCGGTACATAAATTTCTTACTTCATTTGTATAGCTATATTTGCTTGTTTCATTCAACGTAGTACACTTAAGAGACTCCACTATGCCAGACAGAAGAACTGATTTTAAGATTGAAAAAGTACTAATTTTCAACTGAGTTTAACAGCGCAATATCATAAATTGATGTGAAAAATGATACACCATAATCGACCTTGTTATTGATGAACATTAAATTCCACTGAATAATAAAAAGTCACGGATAGTCACCACTTGTGTCTCAAATAGAAATTATCAGAACAGTGTACTTATGTGTAAGGGAAAATCATGGAGACGGAACCTTATCTGCCGACCGATAAACGGCAAACTATCCACGGCGTATTCTACATCTCTGAAAATCTGTTAGCTAAAATACCCAGAAATGTTTATCTCTTCGTTGTATTTTTTTCAATATAATTCGTTTTCATACATTCTGATTCAAATTATTCATTCGAGATTTAATTTTAAAGTCATTCGTAAAACGTATATTGCTACAAAAACTCACGTAAATAAATATGTTATCGAATAAATAATCTGATGGCATTATCTTCAGCGAAAAAAATGGAGTCTTTCCATTTTGGAATATCAACGGAATTAGTAGCTGAGAGGAATTTAATTGCCAATCATCCTGAACATATTTATCGATAGTGCGATCCTGATCGGTATCTGATGATAACAACCATCCTTTAAAAAGCTTCGTCAGTAATTCACTGATTTGCTCCTTTTTCTGGAAGTGATTCTTTGTAAAAAAGAATTTTTTGCAAGAATTGTAGTACCGCCTAACGCGTTTCATACCCGTTAAACTTTTTTTTTGCACTTCAAGAAAAAGTAATTAGTAATTTAATGCTGTCAATTAAGCTTGATAAGCTGTAATTTTTTCTGTTACATATTTGCATTAAAACAATACTTGATATTCTGCTTAGAAAGTTTAGTTATCGCAACCTTGACTAAGTCATTATTTTAATATTGTTATGATTATATATGACTTGGCACTATTCAATTCAATTTGTAAGACAGATCTTGATTTCTATTCAAAACACTAGAAGTTTATATCGAAGAACCATCATGATTTGCTCATTTAGTAATTAAACTGTTTAATTCAGATTAGATATTATAAAATACACATTTTAGCATCAAAACAATCCCTGTATGATACAGTTTTACTTCAATAGCTTAATCAGACCATAAAATATACAGTTCTTAGAATATTTAACCGCTAAATAATGATGCGCAACATTGCTATACATGCTAGGGTGGCGACAAACAGAGAATTATTGTCTGTATGTGTAGTTGATAGTCATTTGTTTGATAAGTGATTTGATTTAAATTGGAAAACGATTAGTCGAATGCTATCACTCCTTTTTCTGTTATTTAATTTGTTCAATTGTCACGTTTATTTTGAAGAAATTGTTTTCAAAAACCGTTCAATCCTAGTTTTTGTAAGTCGTTTAAGGTAAGAAACAGTGAATCATAGTGTTAATTAGTCTGATTTAAACTAGAAAATTCAGTGTCACTCAATAATACACAAATGTTTTGTTCAACATTCACATTTGCACCGATCTATTGGTCAAAACATGTCTCTAACAATTATTGTGCAACCAGATTTCAATGTTGCTTATTGAATCATGAACATACGTCCTAAATGAGAATCCATTTGTCAGCATAAATTCAAGACATGATTTCCGAATAAAACAGGCTAAGATCACATTGATATTATAAATATTTAATAAGTCAAAATGAAATCAATACACAGAAGTAGATGAGACTCACACATCTCATAGATCACATCATCTGACCAGTTCTCCGGGAAACTGAAGATATCATTTGGTTTTTTCTTATGACATACATATTCCTCAAAGTTTTTACAAGGTTCAATCACTGAATCTATCATGTTTGTAAAAGGTGAAATAGAAAAGAATTGCATGCAAATCATCATATGGCGCAGTATTCATAAACTTTCCTAATCAAAATAACAGAAGAATCTATGAAGCAGACAAAGAAAGAATGAACGTCAAGAATGTCTGCAAAACAGAGTTGAATTTCTAAAGAGACATGAAATTGAAAACACCAAAACGCAAGTAGTAGAAAAAAGAAGACAGAAAACTACAAATAAATTGACAAAAATTGTTTGTATGTGTTTTCGCACCGTCTTAGAATATAAAAAAATGTGCTCTGATATAGTTCAATGCTGAAATAAGTGCGGACTCAATTTTCATCGAAGATATTTACACGTAAAGAAATGACTGCTGTATAATCTAAATTCATATACAGGTGAACTTTCTGATCTCTCTCAAGCCGATGAGATCAGGCAATGAAAGTGATAACCCATAAAGAGTATTTTCTGAAAACCCTTAAGAGAATAACACATAACATGTAAAAAGAAATAAAGATGGCGAGTTCTTAGAAACCTGTGACAATAAAGTGTGTATAAACATGAGTAACTAATAACTTACTAACGGAAGGTGTGAATTTATTTTGGTGAAAAGTCGTGAGAATAGAAAACAAAAACATTTAGATAACAAATAAACTTACGGTTTGAATATTTCCTTAAAAAATGCACAAGCAGAATTGTCGCGATTATAAAAACACAAATAGAAAAGATGAGAATAACTGTGGCGAGGAGTTTCTGTCGTTTGGATAATTCGAAAAACCGCAACATCTCTGGAAACGTAGCAAAATAAAAGATAAAAGCCAGAAGCGTATTTATATCTGTGATCACTAACGCATAAACAATAAGCAATAGACAGAAATAACGTGGTCAAAAATCGGCTAAAATTTAGAAAAAAGGGGTGCCACTCATTATCAAGGAATATATGGAAAAATTTTCACACAAAAGGTGATTTATTATAATTGGTCATCTATCATTAATTACATTTAGAAAAAATACTAGATAGTACTGTATGAAGTTAGAAGATAATTTACTTATCTTTGTGATATCAGATAGAATAACAAAGAGTGTTGTGACAGATATTAGGTCGCGCTCTCTGAAAAAATCAGCAATTCAACTATTTCATATTGATTACAGTGCACTGAGTAAATGCTAGAAATATAATAAATAATGCGTTAGATTATTTCATTTTTTATTTAACTAAAACAAAAACAACATTGTTTTAATTTGGCAGAGAATTGAATTATCTAAGATAATTGAGATAGAGTAAAATTGGTAATATTTGTAAAAGATATCTAATTCTGACTATACCTACTCCTCTTCCTGCCGCTAGCTGACTGCAATATGAAGATGTCAATTTGGGATCGGAAGCACGGAATACAGTGGAGACATCAGATGTAGCTAAACGAACTACAGTTCGCAGATCATTTATGTAAGAAAATAAGTAATTAAATAAGTAAGTAAATTAGTAAGTAAGTAAGTAAATAGGTAAGTAAGTAAGTTAGTATAAATGTATGTAAGTGAGTACACAAGAAAGTAAGTCAGTTATCAAGAGGAGGTATAAAAGTAAACTATTGAGTAAGTTAACAAGTAAGGAACTCATTAAATAAGTAAACAATTAAATGAGTAGGTAATGAAGTAAGTAGCGAATAACGCAATTAGTTAAGGAAGTCAATAATTAAGTAAATAGGTAAGTTAGTTGCTTTTTTAAAATTGAGGTTGAACAGTGAGCAAGAAATTAAGTAGCGACGAAGTATGTAATTGAGTAAATCAGTAAGCAAGTAAATAGGTAGGATAGAAAGTAAATAATTGAGTGAGTGAGTGAGTAAGTAAGTAGGCAAGCAATTGAGTAGATGAACAATTGAGTAAAAATGGCAGTATTTACGTGAAAGAGTAGGTAAGTAAGTGACGGTGTAAGAGAAGAATTTGATCAACGAACAAATATATAAGTGAGTAATTATGTAAGTAAGAATAATGTGGGCTAGTGTGAAATTACGTTGGTAAGGGAGTCAGTAGGTGAGTTAGTAGTAAGTGTGTAAGCATGTTAGTAGGTTAGCTAATAAGAGAGATAAAAGGTGAGGAGGGGAGAAAAGAGGAAGTTAGGTAGGTAGGTAGGTAGGTAGGAAGGTAGGTAGGTAGGTAGATACGTAAGTAAGTATTATTATAAGTAAGCAAGTAAGTAAGTAGGTAAGTAAACAATCAAGTGAGTAGACAATAACCTAAATAAGTAAGTGGATAAGTAAGTAAGTGAGCAATTAAGTTAGTAAGTAAGTCAGTAAGAAATGAAGAGAATAGGTATGTAAGAAACCAAGAAACTGAGTAAGTAAATTAGAGGGTAGGTACATGAGTAACGATATAAGTGAGCAAGTCATTAGGTACGTAATCATGGAGGTGATCAGGTTTTTAGGAAAGAAGATAAATGCGCACGAACGTAAGTAAGTAAATAAACAGGTAACCAAATCATTGAGTATGTAAGTGAGTGGATGAGTGAATGAGTAGGTGAGTGAGTGAGTGAGTGAGTGAGTGAGTGAGTGAGTGAGTGAGCAGGTAAGTCAGTAAGTAAGAAGTTATTGAAGCAATAATTAAGAATTGAAGCAAGTAATCAGGCAAGTGAATAAGTGAGTTGGTAAGAAAGTAAGTAAACTAGTTGAAAAGAAATTCAGTAAGCAAGTAATTGAGTAGGAATGATAGTAAGTGTGGATCACCATGAAAGCAGAGCGCAATACAGAGTAGATCAGATTTGGGTGGTAGTCGACTCTTTCTCCATAACAGTTTGCAGGAATAATTATATCAGCAAAGTCGATAAATCCTTTAGAATTTGGCAGGACACGCTTTTAATTAAGAACCCTGAATGAAAAAAATTTAGAGACCTAATTTTGCACTCCAAAGCGTTTCATCTTGTTATCTTTTATTCATTTAAAATAGAATAAATACTCAATCACAATGCCTGGACTTAGAGGAGAATTTTGTTATGTTTGTGATATCAGATAGAATAACAATCAGTCCTATTACAGGTATTACGTCGTGCTATCTGAAAAAAATCCGTCATTCAACTATTTCATATGAATTAGAGTGCACTGAGTAAATGCTAGAAATATAATAAATAATGCGTTAGATTATTTCATTTTTTATTTAACTAAAACAAAAACAACATTGTTTTAATTTGGCAGAGAATTTAATTATCTTAAATACATCGGATGTTGTTTAAAAATTGCTTGCTCAACGTGCATTGGTTCTGTCTATCCAAGCCTTCTCATGCGCCTATGAAATTTTTTGGTTGGTCATGTGATTGTTGATCTTATTTTTTGAACAGTCGATTTACTAACATATTTGAAATATATCAAATATTTTTTGCACTCGTTTTCTATCATGATATTTAGGTGTACATTTTGAATAGTTGACACTTCTGCTGATGAAATACTCGATTCTTTGCACGTCTCGATGATGATTTTACTTCTGGCAGTTAGAGCAACAATTATTTTAGATACATAGAATATTCGTACTTTGTCGGAGACTTGAAAAGTTATTCAACATGCTGTGAAATCGAAAAGATATAACCTGGTTATATTTGCAATCAGCTAAACACTTTGGACGCAGGTTGAACAAAAAGATCAGCTTCATTAAAGTTGCGGCCCAACTTGAAAATGCCTCACACGCAGAGGGATTTAAGCTGATTCTTTTTAAATAAGCACATAATTCATTCACAGCATGGGATTCTCGCTCAGCATTTCAATACACTTCATCCATTGTTCATAATCTAAACATCGAAAATGCCACGCCTATATATTTGCAGTATACATGAATGACTGCGGAATCGGCTACATCCTAAGGCAACATGAGACAGCAAAGTATCGTGCTTGAAAATATCGAAAACCAAGATGTAGTCATCAACATAGACGATTAGTAAAACGAGTGTGCAGTGCACTTTGAAAAACTTATGATTCCACTAGCTTCACACAAAACACACCAAACATCGAAAATGAAGTCGCCAAAATAATGAATGGTTTAGGTTGCTTAGTTATTCCTAATAATCACATTTAGACATGAACACCGTGCGATGTCAAGAGTCTAATCGTTTGTGTGCGGGAACAAATGTGCTACGTTCGGTTTCCTCTTCCACAGTATGTAAATGTGCACTACTGATTAGTCGCATATTGCGACTACAGTACTGTACAGTAACTTCAGGTGTCCGACGGTGGTCTAGCATTGATCATCAGTTCATAATTTTATTGAAACTCAACAATCTGCACAACCTTTAAATGAAAGTGCATAAATTAATTTGAATAAAAATTCGCTAGATTCCCTTTAGACAATCTGTCAAAAATACTTTATATGATCGATATGAATAATTGATTTTACGTGGTTTTTATTTTGTGTGTAACATATCAATAAATTACTTGCGAATAATCAGTAGCTTCATTTCAATAACTGACATGTGGTTTTGTTTTGTTCAAACATTTCACAGAAACTTGTTTTTCAACATTCTGCATAAATTGTGGTCATGTTTATGTGTTTATTTGAAAGAGTTTGAATCTTGCATGTGTATATTTCACGTATTGATTTGTTATACTATCACTGTTGAATCTGACAAGATGCATTGGTCTAGTTGGTCGAAATTGATTTGTACACAAAGATCTCAGAAAGAGTTTCTTCTTTTTTGATTGTACATTGATAGGATTAAGTGTACTTGAACAGATGGAGGATGAAGGTTGCTGAAAATGAATTTCTCGTCATAACGTAATTAGTAGTATTGCAGTTGTTTTTTGTTTTTATCAGACAAATATTTGGATTCTTTACTATTCTAAGTAAATTCTTGAATGTTAGTTAATGATCAAGTAGTACATTTGTATTTTCACCGAGTAGCAAAATGAGTAAGGTGAATATTTTTCTGTGTGCTACATTGTAGTTATGATAATTTCGAAAGCAGTTTAACAAGTCACGAATGAATGGTTCATGTTTTTTGTGTTTTACTGATGTTAGCTTGCTTTCGAATGATTTCAACAAAAATTATGTTGACAGATCTACTCATTCTGTTTGTGGTGTTTTCTGTACTAATTTACCTGTACACATGCCTTCTTTTTCAATCTTGTCGATAACTATATATGACACAGACGACATCACAATTTGATCATAGCTAGACTATCTTTGCACAGAATAAATGATCGATCTTTCCTACAATGGGTCATGAGTTTGATTCTCATACGGTTGAATAATTGCTCAGTAGGATGAAGTTGTCAATCAGTTCTTACAGATTTCCAATGATGATTTAAATGAAATCTATGTATGATTTTAACTATGGAGATCATACCAACTCCGGAAATTCACTTTTTTTAAGTACATTTCTATTCAACTCTACGTAAACGTAAAAATCATATTGAAACATAAAAACTATAACTTTTGATACATAAATCCAAAAATGACTCTCATTTTAATCAAATAATAATCATTCTCATCTTCAACTATCTTGAAAATTTTCGGATACAAATGTTGAAAAGTCATTACCATGAATATTACCATTACTCGTTATAAAAACAACAATTCTAATGTTTATTCTAAATGAACTTGATCTATTTTTACCCGTTTCCAACATCAGTGTAATTGGGTGTGTGTAACTGTGTAGATGCGAATGTTGTGAATGCTGCTATTGTTATTCGCTTCACACTTCCTTCACCAAAGTGGACACACCAATTTACATTTGCATTAAAAAAACAGTTTTGATTGAGTGTTGTATGTCACTCACTCAACGAGTATGTTTTATATTGATCTGTGTGTATTTGAGCAATACACATTGTCCATCTATGTTAGGGAGTGTCATCACTTTAATCAATCTGTGTTATTACGTAACGTCAACCTCCAT